CTTCCCCCTCTACGGCCCAGTACTCCCCCTCACCCAACAATTCGGGCCAACCCAACCAGCCTGCCAGCCCACTAAATGCCGAACCAACTCTCCCCCTCCCCTCGGCCCACACAGCCCAATCCCACCACCACCACCCATCACATGATAACCCGCTCCAAAGTTGGCATATCCAAACCCAAACAGATCCTTAACCTTAACTCCATGGCCCAAATTTCCCCTCTCCCACCCACCTACCGTAGTGCACTTAAGGATCAAAACTGGTACAGTGCTATGTGTGATAAATTTAATGCTTTGATCAAAAACGAAACATGAGAATTAGTACCTCCCTCCCCCACTCAAAATATTATCACTGGTAAGTGGCTCTTTCGCCACAAATTTGGCCCCACAGGTGAACTGTCCAGGTACAAAGCTAGATGGGTGGTCCGTGGATTTAATCGGCGCTTTGGCATCGACTATAATGAGACTTTTAGCCCGGTTGTCAAACCGGCCACGGTACGCATTGTTCTCACTCTTGCTCTAAGCCGCGGATGGTCCATTCACCAGCTTAATGTGAAGATTGCATTCCTGAACAGCACACTTCACGAGGCAGTTTATGCCAGCCAGCCCTCAGGTTCCCAAGATCCAACACGGCCTAATTATGTTTGCAGGTTGAAGAAGGCCCTTTATGGTCTCAAGCAGGCCCCCAGGTCCTGGTACCAACGATTTGCAGGTTTTCTCATCACTCTGGGGTTTTGTAGCTGCAAGAGTGACACATCGCTCTTTGTCTTCTCCCGTGGCATAGACATGGCCTATCTTCTACTCTATGTGGACGACATTGTCCTCACTGCATCATCCCCTGCCCTCCTCACATCTCTCACTCAGCGACTTAAAGGGGAATTTGCTATGACAGATATGGGGGATCTCAATTTTTTTCTTGGTATTAATGTCCAGCGCAGTGCTGGGGGACTCTTTCTTCATCAGACTCAGTTCGCACACGAGATTCTAGAGCGGGCTGGCATGCTTCACTGTAAGCCTATCTCCACACCTGTGGACACCAAAGCAAAGCTGTCCGTGACGTTCGGCACTCCTCTTCCGGATCCCACTATTTACAGATCCATTGTCGGCGCTCTACAGTATCTCACATTCACTCATCCCGACCTCACTTATGCAGTCCAGCAGTTATGTCTTCATTTACATGCCCCCCGCAGCACTCATCTTTTGGCCATGAAGAGGGTCCTGCGGTACATCCACGGCACAGCTACACATGGGATCACTCTCCACTGCACTCGCACAGATGCTTTACAGGCCTATTCAGATGCTGATTGGGCTGGATTCCCCGACACTCGCCGTTCCACTTCCGGGTATTGTGTTTTCCTCAGAGACAATCTCATTTCCTGGTCCTCCAAGAGGCAAGCCACGACTTCTCGCTCCAGTGCTGAGGCAGAGTATCGAGCCGTGGCAAATGCAGTGGCTGAGGCGAGTTGGGTCCGGAATCTTCTCCTTGAGCTCCATCAGCCTCTGCGACGTGCTACATTGGTGTTCTGTGATAATGTCAGTGCAGTATATCTCTCGTCTAATCCCGTTCAGCATCAGCGCACCAAGCATGTTGAAGTCGACATTCACTTCATTAGAGACAAAGTTGCTCTCGCTCACGTCAGGGTCCTTCATGTTCCATCATCTTCTCAATATGCAGATATATTCACCAAAGGGCTTCCCTCACTACTCTTCTCCGATTTCAGACACAGTCTTAGTATTCGTCCATCACCGGTCACGTAGTTGGGCGCATGTTAAATATAGTATGTTTATATTTAATATATATATATATATATATATATATATATATATATATATATAAAACCTTGTGAAGGATAAAAGAAGAAAGCAAAGAATTACCACTCTGACTAATGACCAAGGCCAGACTATTGAAGACACTGCCTCTCTTGAGGCCATGGTGGTGGAGCATTATAAGAATCTTTTCAATTCTCATGAACCAATGCCCTCCCAGGATGTCTATGAGAGTTTCTTAAATGCCATCCCTCCTCTTCTTTTTCCTGAACATAATGATTTGCTTATGAGACTTCCAGAAGAAGAAGAGATTAGAAACATTCTTTGGGAGATGGATAGTGACTCTGCAGCAGGTCCAGATGGTTTCAACTGCAGGTTTTTCAAAGCATGTTGGGATTTTGTTAAGAGGGATGTCACCTCAGCTTGCCAAGAAGTCTTTTTGGGCATTCCTCTTCCTCCTGCAGCTGCCAGTTCCAATATCTGCCTTTTGCCTAAAGTGGAGAATGCTCAAAGACTCAATGATTTCAGGCCTATTTGCCTTTCTACAGTGGCTTCTAAAATTTCTTCCAAATGCATCTCCAAGAGGCTGGGTACCCTCCTGCCCCTAATTATTTCAGAAGAGCAGGGTGCCTATGTACCTGGTAGGGAAATTCTGGATCAAATTTTAATTACCAAGGAGATGGTTCATCACATCAACAAAAAAGCCAATGGAGGTAATCTTATCATCAAGCTTGATATGGCTAAAGCTTTTGATAAACTGAAATGGTCGTATTTGTTTGACATTCTCCAACAGTTTGGCTTTTGTGCACAGTTCATTAATATGGTTAAAAATCTACTTAGCTCTTCTAAGTATTCTGTTTTATTTAATGGAAAACCATGTAGTTATTTTGGCCAATCCAGAGGCATTAAGCAAGGCGACCCACTTTCTCCCCTTCTTTTTATAATTGCTAATGAAGGCTTCTCAAGGAACCTCAAGAAGCTCTTCTCACTGGGCAGAATTGGCCATTTCAATTGTGGTACTAAAAGCATACCTATTACTCACCTCTCCTATGCTGATGATATTATTACCTTCTCCTCTGGACATGCCAGATCCATCTTGAATTTGAGAAGAGATCCTGGAGGACTACCAACTGGTTTCTGGGCAGACTATTAACTACCAAAAAAGCAGCTTTGTGGTTGGGAAGAAGGCTAACATTATACTGATTAACAAACTGCAACAGGCACTTAATATGCCTTTTAAGGCCTTACCTTTCACCTATCTTGGAGTTCCAATTGATCTTGGAATCACTAGGAGTGTTCATTGTGCTCATATTATCCATTCCTTTGATAAGAAACTTAATGGATGGTTTCAACGTAATCTGGACGCAGCGGGTAGGTTGATTCTAATTAACCATGTCCTCAATACCATCCCTAACTATTTTCTTGCTGCTAGCACTTTGCCTAAATCCATAGGCCATATTTTGGGGCAAAAAATGGCTCGTTTCTGGTTGGGTGGTAATGCCAACAAGCATCATTGGATTCGATGGGAGAGGTTATGTTTACCAAAGGAGGAGGGTGGCCTTGGGATTAGAGATCTCAAATCCCTGGAGCAAGCATACTCTTGCAAACTTTGGTGGAAGGTTAATCAATCAAACTGTCTTTGGAGCAGGTTTATGAGAGCTAAATATTGGAGACATGGTGATATGGTATCCCATCTTATTGATTCTCCTATTTGGAAGAGGATATCAAAAATTGATGAAATAGATCAAAGAATCTGCTGCCACTATGATGATGGCAGTATCTCATGGGGGGATGATCCTCAAGGAAGTTTTACTCTCAAATCTGCATATGCTCACTGTAGGGCTGCGGCTAATCCTGCTCTATCCTTCAAATTGATTTGGGAGTCTCCTCAAAACCCCAAAATTAGCATCTTTATGTGGAAGTTACTTTATGGTTGTCTTCCTACACCTGAAAATCTGCAGAAACTGGGTTTCCAACTGCCTTCTATGTGCTCTTTTTGCAATGCATCTTCTTTTACTATTAAACACACCCTTGTAGACTGTCCTGAGATTGGCATTGTTTGGAGACATTTTTCTATGTGCTTTGGCTTCCCTCATCTCCAATCTTCTTCAGTTAATCAGAACTTCATGAACTGGTGGCTAAGGGGTAATAACACCATCCATGGCTTTCTTAGGAAACACGCACCATCCATCATTTGTTGGCATATTTGGAAGCACCTGAATGCTATCATCCATGGTGAGATTTCTAAGCTTAATACTGATGGTTTGATTCATACTATCTCTCGTTATCTATCAATGGGTTGCCATCAAAGCTCCAAAGAAGCTTCGGGTTAAGGATGTGTGGCTCACCAATATGCATCTTTTACCTATTTTCAAAACGGAGGCTAAAGTGTGTATTGTTAAATGGCTTGCACCACCAAAGGGTAGACTTAAGCTTAATGTTGATGCCTCTTTTATATCCAACTTCCAAAGAGGAGCTGGTATACTACGCAATGAAGAGGGTTCGTTTGTCTGTGCAGCTTCATTTCGTCTCTCATGCAACTCTTCCTTCCAAGCTGAGGTTCTAGCAGCAATTCAAGCTATTATATGGGTGTTTTCTTTTCAAAAAGAAATCATTTTTGAAACAGATGCTTTGGAGGTGATTCGGAGGATCTCTAAATATACTCACCTTGCTGCCTCTCCTTTCCCTATTGACATTCTCTCACGCCTTATCTCTGACAATGGAGTTTGGATTTCACATGTGCTTCGGGAAGGAAATCAGCCGGCTGATCTTTTAGCAAAGGATGATAGGCACAAGACTGATTCTTTTATTATCTATCCTTATCTTAGTTCTTGTCCTACTAGAGTTAGAGCTGCACTTGCTCAAGAAATTGTACCTTCGTTTCGTTTTCATTAATAAAATCATTTCTTCTGCAAAAATATATATATATATATACATATATATATATATATATATATATACATATATATATATATATATATATATATACATATATATATATATATATATATATACATACATACATATATATATATACATATATATATATATATACATACATACATATATATATACATATACATATATATATATACATACATATATATATATATACATACATATATATATATATATAAACATACATATATATACATATATATATATATATACATACATACATATATATACATATATATATATATATATATCCTCTATTATTATGATTTCTGTTTTGAGAACTAAATCCGCCAAATGGGATTTGTTGTTGCTGCGGCCGGTTGTAGTTGACATAATCAACTTGCTCCATTGCATCCCATGGACATGAAGATTGATCATGTTGTCCACCACAGGATACACACATGAGAACAGGAACATGAGGCGGTGCTCGCGTAGTGTTTTGCACAGCAGAGACTTGACCAATCTTTTGGATCATGCTCATCATGCTATCGACCTTAGCAGCCATGGCCAACATTTGATCAACTTCGTAATGCCTCCAATTTTTGGTTGAGCGGATGGACGGTCAGAGTACCCGGTGGATCCGTTTGTTGAGATCCGCTCAATGAGTTCTTCAGCTTCATCAAGTTCAAGGCTCATGAATGATCCGCACGCCCGCCGAGGCATCCAACAATATCCATGAGTTTTCATTTAGGCCTTCATAGAAAGCCGTCATTAGGTGCCAGGACTGGATATTGTGATGTGGGCATTGTCTTTGAAGATCTTTGAATCTCTCCCAAGCCTCGTAAAGGGGCTCATTTGGATTTTGCTTGAAATTTGTATCATCCGCCTGATTTTTGCTGTTTTGGAAGGCGTAAAGAATCGCTTGAGAAATTCTCCGTGTAGCTGGTCCCAAGTTGTGAAGTGATTGTCTGGAAATGAATCCCGCCAGCTTTGAGCTCTGTCCCTTAGAGAGAATGGGAACAGACAGAGCCTGATTGCATCAGTTGGCACACCATTGATTTTGAATGTATTGCACGCTTGGAGGAATTTGGTTATATGGTTGTGTGGGTCCTCCGTTGGTTCTCCACCAAACTGATCAGCTGAGACCATGTGAATGAAAGCAGGTTTGATTTCGAAGTTGTTTGCTATGACATCCGGAGGAATAATGCTGTTGTGTTCTGCCACAGGAGGAGTGACATAGCCAGAAAGAGTCCTCCTGTTCGGAACTTCATTTTGTCTTCTCTGAATTCCCTGCACATTTTCAAGAACATCGTTTCGTGGGACTTCCATTTTCTTTCTTTTTCTTATTTCTTTCAAATGTTTTTCAATTTCTAGAAAGAAAATTTTTTCTTGATTAATCCCACGTGAACGCGTTAGCATAAAAAGAAAGGGATCTGGGAGGGTTGGAGAGAGAAGAGGGATAAGGGAAAAAGGGAATAGAAGGAAAGTAAAAGGGGGAAAAGGGGAAAAAATGAAAAGAGAAGGGAAAGGTGTTATATCTCAGCTCCGGGTTTTATAGTTAAAAACCTCTTTATTTGTAGGCAAGTGGAGATAATCGATTTCCAGTACAGTTTTTCTGGGCAGGAAGAAGGGTGTTTTTTTTTGTGGGGGAATGGGCTGGAAATATATGGAGATGATGAAGGAGTTCTTTTGGTATTTTTAATATAAGAAAAGAAAGGAGATTAAGGATAGAAATGGTGGGAAAAGGAATGGATAGAAAATAGTGGTGGATAAACCAAGTTGGTGTTTAAGAGATATTACACACTCTTATCCTAACTTGGGGTTTGAATCTAGAATTTAATTAAGATATGACACACTTAATTAAATAACTAGAACCTAACACTCACACTTAAGGAAACCAACCTTAAGATATAGAAATTAGGATTTGAAAATAGAATACAATAAGTGTATTTCTATCTTGAAATGAAGAATAAAAACTGAGCATTACAATAGGCCTATGGCCGAAATTTAAAGGCACTCATACAAAGGAAAATACTAAGCTATTTCTTCCACAAATCCTAGAAAATGCAGTCATGTGCTTGTAACACCCTAATCCGTCCAGGTCTGCAGCCCTTTTCGGACGAAAGTATTAACTTGGTAATCGTAAAATTTAAAACATTTCAAACACTTTTATTTATCATAATAATATTTTTCATATCATAAACAGTACAGAGTTTTCAATATTGCGGAAGCTTAACAATTCATAACCATAAACATAACTTATTTATGTTCTTTAATTCAAAACCATC